TGTTTTAATCTTTAGTAGATTCTAAAATGACCAGTTAAACTTTCCAAATCAAGTGTATAAATAACAGAATTTTAAAAGAAGTAGCAAAAGACTATTAGTCTAAATGCTATTTGTGGAACAACATTCGATTACCAAAGGAAAAAAACATATGCCTTTGTACCCATGATAAGACAAGGATGCAATTAGGAGGAATTTAGGGGTGGAGCTAGGTGGAGGTTTATGGGTTCGGACGAATTCAATAGCTTTTTCGTGAACTCTATATTTGAACTAGAAATTAAGTAATAACTTGTGTGAACTCCTAAAAAAACTAATAAGGAAAAAGAAAGAAATTTAGAACCCTCAAACTCTCAATATTGACTCCGCCTCCGAGGAGGATTCATTTTTTCTTCCTTATATTCTTTTCATTTATTTATTTATGAATAACAACTCTTTTGGTTCGTTAGTTATTTGTAAATTTTTATGTCAGATCCTATTTTATCATGCTTAATATATTTAATCTTTAATTACTTGAAATATGCATGTTTGATCTTTTTACTTATTAATATTCATAAATTTTCAGAATTATTAATCGTTTTCTTGTATAATTATCCATGTGTTACGTTGTACTTTGTTGGTGAAAATTACAAAGATTACAAATTACAATTGAAAATAAAATAAAGAAAATAAAATCACTTCAGGTTGAGGCGCGGATATCTCGCTCTCCCATTGCAACAAATTTTTCACCGATCCAGCAGTAGTCCTCTTGACCCCCTCCCCCCCGAGGATATAATAGCCTAATCACAAAGAATAGCTCAACAAACTCTGGACAACACCTGAGTCCAAAGTTCCACAAAAAAACACTTTTCTTCGATTAATTAATAAGAATTCTGATTTTGATTAACTTTTATGCACTATATATTTTCTTGTACTCAAACAAATGAAGACCACCACTATTTTATAGTTGAGTAAGTTTTTCTATAATGAGTAGGAAGATAATTGGATAGTGAAAGTAAAGATAAATCCTTGGAGAGATTTATCTTACTAGCTAGTGCTACTTTGGAGAGATTGTTTTCGATAAAATTCTTGACTCAAGAAAAACTTTTAAAAAATAGATTTGAAAGGATACCAGAGAATAAAACTATGATAAAAATACAGAAGAAGAGAAATGTATTAATTACCGTAGTTTCTTTTGCTTCTTTTATTTGTTGGCACTACGAATTAGTCATGTGACTTTTAATCTGTGATAGGAGGTTAATTGCCATCTTTACATGATTATCAAATTAACATTTATTAACTGTAATTATTTAATTAGTGATCTGATTATATAAATATTCATCTACTCCTCGACACATATAATTATAACTTTTCAAATAATGAGATGTATCTACTGTTCTTTAATTCCGATTGCAGGCCTTCCGTTAATGAAGGATCTATAATTGATAAAATAAAATAATTAAAAGTGAAGACACTTCCGTACATATTTCTTTTTATAATTTTCGTTGATTTGATGTATCAAAAAATATTCTCTTATTGTATTCTCCTTTATTATTTTTTAAAATATATTTAATTTTACAAAAAATTAGGAACAAGATGCTTAAATGAAATTACTCCTACTTATTCGGTTGTATTCCAAAATGGGAGAAGCCTTTCAAATCATTAAAGTCGGTCTAATCAATGGAAAAAGTATGTAGTTTTATATTTTATAAAAAATAATCATGCTAATCTTTCAACTTTATCAATATAAAAATACACGTGTATCGCACGTATTTTTTTTATTTTTTTTTGCAATATATACAAAGTACAAATGTATAGCACTACGATGCACACACTCACCAACGTTGGGGTAAAATAATTAAATTCACGAAAGTAATCTATTAAGAATTCAATAAGTAAAAGAAAATTATTTTTTTAAAGCAATTTCGCTAGGCAAGGTGTGTCTAAGGCTAGTTTTATTAATAAAGAGAAGGATCTCAAAGAGAAAAGTACAAGCAAGTGAGGCTACCTTACTAATCTTAATGAGGTAACGAACCTTTACTAATTAACAAGCATGAAGAAAATAAGAGCTAAAAAAAACTAGATATTCTATGATTATCATAGAGTTTATAATACACTCTGTGATGATACTATAAATTAAATGAGCATGCTTAAGTAATGCAAAAATACAAAATCTCAGAATAAAGCTGAGTTATCAACCTCAAACTTCATTTTATATATGTAAGAATTAAAAGAGATGGATTGCCCCGTGTAAAGTAACTTGAAGTATTTTCCTCTTGTCTTCTTCGTCAAATATGTCCAAAAAAACTTGATAGTTCATCACTAGATAGTAAAAAAAGAAGTTATAATTCAAAACTTATAAATTAAAAGTTTTGATTCTACCGCATCTATTTAGTGTCTATATTATTTTAAATTTGAATAATAAAATTAATATACACACGTATATAAAAAGTATAGTATATACATTAAGACGCACGTCTTCAAAGAATAAATTTGTGTTGTAGAAAAAAAAAGATATATATGCCAATGGACAAGCAAAAAGACTAGGACTAGTGCGTAGGGCAATGAGGGAGCATGACCTGATTTGGTCTGATATTTGTCTACTAATTAATCCACCATATCATATACTTAATAGAATGATTACATACTTAATTACTCCCTATAATTACTACTAGTTGTTGGCAGGGGCGGAGCCAGCCTTTCTGTTAGGAAGTTCATCCGAACCCCTTCGGCGGGAAATAGTACTATTTATATATGATTAAAATTATTTTTTATATATATAAAATAGATGTTGAATCTCCTTTAATTAGTTTGTGTGTTTAGTTCTTTAGATTTTGAACTCCCTTATTCAAAATCTTAACTCCGCCACTGATTGTTGGGGGTACAATAACTGCATGGGATGAGACATCACTTACTTTGTGATGTATCTTTGGCTAACATTATCACTATCTTTACACTTAAGTAAATTAAACACATATTAGGGAACTGAGTACTGAACTCAATAAAAAAATCACTATTTTTTTTAATTGAAAGTTTGATTACAGGTGCGTGGTCATTTTCAAAGATATTTGTTTGAGTCGATGAGAAAAGGAAAAATAGCTATGTTTTCATATGAAAAAATCTACTATTTTAGTGAAAATCCGTTTTTCACCATGTAATTTGTCTGTGAGTTTATTGATAAAAAATAGGTTAAAAATCACATTATATAACGTAAAATTCACTAATTAGTCATGAAAAAACATTCGTTTCTAGTAATGAAACTATCGCCGCTAGCCTCCAAAGCCATCCATCGAAGTTTTCCAATCCTTTTTTTTTTGGGGCTTTCGAAACCGCACTATGCATAAATTTAAGGGTGAGGTTTATATCTAGCTGTTTTTCCGCTTCTACAATTAAATGTAAATGAAAAACATAATATGAAATTAATGATATTAATAAATGTCAAATTTTGTTTAGAATATATTGTAATTCTTATCAAATTTGGAGAGTAGTTTTCTAAATTAGTTGACTTAACTATGGTTATGATATTTGTTAATATAATATAATTTTGACCTTTAAACTTTAAATATGACACATGCCTCTAATCTAGACGTACACTTGACAAAATGGAAGGAAGGAGTAATGGAGGGAAGCCGAATCCACCTGTCAATATCATTGAGTTTTACCCTTGAAATTTGAAACTTCATAATAGTATATATTTTTTCAAAGACGTGATTGAAAATATATTTTTTCTACTAAATATAAGTGTTTCTCAGAAAGAAATTTGGAAGAACTGGCAATTCGTATAAAATAATAATAGTATAACAATAATATTTGGACCATTCAAATTTCTCTCTCACTTTTTGGTTCTTGTTTCTTCTAGTACAGTAAAGTAAAGCAAAGCCAACGAAACAAAAAATAGCTCACATGATCAAGTTGTTTGCAGCATCTGATTCAAAACTCAAAATCATGATTTTGGTTCACAAAGTTTATAAAGTCATGAAATATTGATGATTTTTAAATAGAATTTTGTAGTCCAAATTAAAGGGAAAAAATATATATAGAATTTATGCAAATTGGAATTGAATTTGCAGCTTCTTATATAAAGTGTCAGCTTCCTTATTATATATTAAATAATTAAAACTAATAAACTATTGATAGAATAATTAAGGGTATCTTAATTAACATTAGTATGTTATTGTTATTGTTGTTGCATTAATCCGGGAAGGATCAAGTGGTCAAAACCGATAAGAGAAATTATTAATAAACCTCCGAAGATTTGGTAGCGAACACTTATTGTGAAGCTACATAGTATACATTCATATCCCCTCTCGAATACATTTGGATGTATTCGAGAACAATAAAAAATCTTAGATTTTTGTAATTAGGAACTTTCAGTATAAGATGTAATTAGCCACCAAAAGTATGAGATGTTTGTACTTAGCTCTACAAATGGGAAAATTATATGAAATAACAAATTATTAATTCAAATTAATTATTATAGCCATAGTTTATTTTAATTGTAATTCGCAGCAAACATCCCTTTTTTTGCCATCTGATTCGGTATACAATTAGTCATTTTCGGTATACAATTAGCCATTTTATACATTTTGGTATAAAATGCATTTGTGTTTGTATAAAGCGAGAGAAAAGTGTATATACAAATACAAATACATATATTTTCATTTTATACACTTATAATTATACAAATACAGATCTTATTATACAAATTACAATGTATAAATGAATTTATACAAAACTGAACAATTAGTATAAAATTAGATGTTTGTAGTGAATTATACAAATCAAAAGCTTTATAGCAAACATACAATTTGCTCTGAAGCGCAATTATGCAAACTATAGTTATAACATACAAATATGGATTTTATGTTTGCTATATGTGAAAATTGCTCACAAATTTGATAGATAAGATCCACTAACTTAAGGATTAAGCCCACTGGACCAGGCCCATATTTATCATTTTAATAGAACTTCGGCCCAATAATTTGGGTTGGACTTAAAGAGATAGATCAGAACCCGAATACCCGATTATCAGAACTTTGTTTACCCGTTAAGCTCTGAACATTTTGGGAGTTCTCATCCCCGGTGGCGAAGTGGTTGTTACGCATAACAGGAGAGAGATTCGCAGCGGAGCGTGAACTCAACGCGTGATTTGATGGGAGAAAATAGCTCTGTCACCGCCGCACCACCTCCGTCGTTGGAAAAAACCTCCGCCATCGAGGACGCGCTTCTCAAGCAATTCTTCGCTGAGGTCAGCGAGGTTGAGCGCGACAACGAAGTTATAAGGTCTAGCCTCCTTCCCTCCATATTATATATATAGATACAAAATACACACACATATATAGATAGATATATGTGCTTGTTTACATCTGTGTGTGCCATGATCCTTTTTGTTGGTGTCAAGTATTTGTTCTAAGATCTCCTCCACTTGTATATCGCGAATTTTATAACATGAACCTTGAAATGGATGCTATTCAGGTAACTGTAATTGTTTTGTATGATTTATTTGTGAGCTTTGCCGGTAACAGTAATTGTATTGTATGATTTATCTGTGAGCTTTTGCCGGGAAGAAGATCAATAGTTTCTAACACCTAACACCTGAACAGGAAAGTTATATGGGATAAAATGATTTAAAGATTGGTAGGATAGACACGTTATTGGAATTACATGAATTTCTATCCTTACAAAACTCACTTTTTCACAAGTTTTGGAAGGAAAAATCACCTTCTAGACAACTACTTTGGTCTATGATTTGTATTTATTGAGGATTGAGCTTAACAACAACAAATACATGCCCAGTGAAATCTACAAGTCGAGTTTGGGGAGGTTAGAGTGTTAAAGGAGACCGTAACCCTACCTCGTGGAGGTAGAGAGGTTGTTTCTGAAGGATCATCGGCTCAAGTGCAGCAAATCAAAGTAGCTATGAAAAGAAAAAATGAAAATGAGTGAAGAAAACATAACAACTAATAAGCAGTGCAGAGTAGTTAGAAAAGGAATAGTAACAAATGCAAATAGAGTAATAACTTCGGAGGCTAGCCTCCACTTCATCCACACCATATCAATATGATGTTTCCACACCTCCAACTTAGCATTAACTCCGTTGCGTGTCTCATCAATCAATACTATGCCATCTAGCATACATCATGGCACCTCATCTTGATTATACCGCTTCAATTCATCCATTACCAAAGCATAGAGAAATGGGCTAAGCATTGATTCCTGGTGCAACCCTATCTTGACTAAAAACTGCTCCGAGTCTCCTCCCACTGTTCAGTATTGTGCTTAATAATAGTCATCTATTCTATTTTGAAATATACTAGTTTCCTTTAGATTTGTATATCTTAACTGTTGATGTAGATAGCTGAATAAATACAAATTTCAATATTGTTTGTTATTTGTATTATTCTATATTTCATAATTTGGATTCAAACTTAAAAAATCGCAGGATACTTTCATGCTTCAAGTTGAATCCATTTGAATACCTTAACCTGTCATTTGATTCATCCATTGACGAAGTTAAAAAGCAGTATCGTAAGGTATATTTCTTGAAAGTTGAAATTCCCGTTGGACTCAAATGATTCCATTTTTTTATATCATATTCTGTGACTCGACCCTAATATATTACCATAAATTACATATATGCAGTTGTCTTTACTTGTTCACCCTGATAAATGCAAGCATCCACAAGCAAAGGAGGCATTTGGTGGTAAGAAAGCCACTTTTGTTGTTCCTTGTATAGAAGAGTATTGTCATTTTAGGTAGTTTATTGAGTGAAGGACTTCCCTGTTCAAACAAAAAATTCATTTCGTAATGGATAAATACCATGTTCGTACTTCTAGTTTCTATAGACTTATAAATGGATCTTTGCATTGAGTATTTGGGTTATGCTTTACATGATATCCCCTGTTCTGTTCATTAGGTGGTTTTATGTTAGATATTGATATCTTTCATCTCTAAGCTAAGATTGATCATTCCAAGAATTTCTTGAATCGGAAACTTGATCAATGTCCATGCTGTAGATATATTTGGGAAGTTGTTTTTCTATTATATTCGATTCGTATTAGTTAGCGTCGACACTTACTGCCTCTTAGTGACCGGTTTAAATTTTTTTGTCTCAAGATTGGTTATTCAAAATTTAAGGCAACCACGGTGCTTTAAAATGGGTAACCTACTGAAGAGAGCAGAAGACTGCAGTTCCTCGGCCATTGATGTGAACCACAGTCTACTCACTACATATATACAGGAAGTGTATGTGGAACTACTCGTTATTGTATGCAAGTGTAAAACTATTTTTATTTCCATAAATATATCTTGCTACATGAATGATCTCTTCAGAAATATAGTATATGCTGAGTCTCTGTCGCTATAGCACTAGTAAAAAAAAATTTTACAACTTCAAAATTCTGGTGTATACTGGGATCTATCTGTTAAACTACCAGTACAAAGATTTTTTTTACAAGGTTCAGTTTTTATTTATTTTGTGTAATGCTTGGAGTGGTTAAGGGAATTTTCATCTTCATGAATGATATTGCTTGTGTATGTTATTTATGTCGAGTCAAAAAGAATTGGAAGAAGCAAAGATGAGAGCTGGAAAGAAGCATTAGGCCTTAATCTCAAAAGATCACTCTTGTAAATGCTTATATGTAGTCTTATTGTGAGATGATTTGGTTTGATTTTGTTTTTTTAACTGCTCAAGTAAGAATTTTATGTTTTATATCTTTCCCCTTCCTGTTTGTGAATTTTATTTTTGCAAATTTTCATGTTGTATGCAGCCTTAGCTAAAGCGCAACAGTTATTACTTGATCAACAGGAGAGGGATTACATTCTGAGCCAAGTTGTTGCAGCAAAAGGTTCGCCATCACCTCGCTATTCATTCTTTTGTTCTTTAGTCTTCCTTTCGCCATGGGATATACTGCATTCACATTCTCTCTGCATTTCCAATGGAGCACTAAAACTGTTGCTGCAATTCTTCAGTGGTCTGAGTTCCACAAAAATGTACGGCGGTGTCTTGTTTATGATTTTCATTCTTTTGCAGAAGGGACAATTTTTGAGAAATGGGGTTTGTTTCAAAATCTTGATTTTTTTTGTCCAAGTTGAAGAAGTGCTGAGGAGTTGTTTTTCACCCAAAACTCTTCTTTCACTGTGAAAACACGCATAAATTTTCCCAAAAAAGATTAAAAAAACCAGAAGTACTCCACACAAATCAGCTTACACAACTTGTTTTTCAAAAACCTCTTCAACATACTGTCCAAATGAAAGATGATAATCAATAGTGGCGAAAAACTTGTTGGTCTGGTATTGTGAGCCGTCTTCTGTAACTCAACATGGACAAATGGAGACTGTTCTGTATTTTCATTATGTTGCTCACTCACTTGAACTATTATATCAATTATTCTTCTGGTTTCCTTTGCCTCTTTCAATATATTATCTCCATAAAATACTGAAACTTTTGTGTTTTGCCCTTTTTGTGTATGAGCACAGAGGAATTAAGATCAAAGTGGAAGAAGCAGCTTAAAAAAGATACTGCTAGCAAATTGAAGTCATTAGTTACTGAGGTAGGTCTACAATTCTCTCAGATTTTTTAAATTGATCTGAATTTAGCTGGAATTATTGCTTCTGGATATTCAGATGGTGAATTTTCTTCCTGATGTTGTATCTACTACCAAGATGACATTTTTTTATAATGAAACCGTGAACATTTTCACACAATCAAAACCACATTAAACCGTGCAGGTCATCGACTCCTTAATTTGGTTTTGTAACTTGCTGCGTTTTAGACTTACTCTCGTTTCACCTTTCTACTAGTATGTTTCTTATTTAACTCCTTGTGTTTCGTTTTTGCATGATTCTTATTCCACCTTAATGGTTTGGTTAGGGAACCTACATGGTTTCAATAGAGCATTTAGGAAAATATATAGCACTATGTAACTTTTGTGTTTCAGATGGTTGATTTCTGTACTCCTGATTGTGCAAACAGGGTAAATATGACCAAGAACATGAGCAGTCAGAGGAATTCCAGCAGCAGCTGAAGTTAAAGGTTAGAGAAATATTGACAGATCAAGAATGGCGGAGGAGAAAAATGGCAATGAGGGTATGTTCCTTAGCTGTTTTCTTGATATGTCATCTTTTTGGATTTCTAGTTAAACTTACTGTTGGATTTTGCGTAGATATCTGAAGAGGAAGGCCGCTTGAAGAAAGATGAGGAAGAAACAAAAGAGATGTGGAAAAGAAAACGTGAGCATGAGGAGCAGTGGGAAGGAACTAGAGAAAATAGGGTTAGTTCTCTAGCTCATTTATAGTTATTGTATGTTCAGTGAAGTATGTTTTTTTAAATAACTTGCAGTTGGTGAATTTCTTAGTTACTACTTACCTATTTTTCAGGTTTATAGGATTTATAAAAGATACTGATGGTGTATCCTCAGTTATTAGTAACATGTTTGCAACAGTAGCAGCACTATAGTTAAATGTTTTCTGAGGTATAATCTACAGTTAGATTTCTTTCTGATAGCTGCTTTCTTTTTCTTCGTGTCATCAGGTGTCCAGTTGGAGGGATTTCATGAAGGGCGGGAAAAAGGTAAGTTTGATTAGCTTCCGTCAATAAATGCTTTTACCGCTCTTTTGTGATGATAAAGAACAGGGAGTGGGTGGCGAACATCTTGTAATGATAAAGAATAGGCTAAGTTTCATCATGCTTTTTTGCAGGCTAAGAAAGGAGAGATTCGGCCTCCAAAGCTTAAGACAGAAGATCCAAACAAATCTTATGTTCAAAGACCTGTTAAAAGAGGTTAACACATGTACTCTGATGGGTTTTTACTGCTTCCATAGTGCCGTGAATCTCATTGAAAGCATGATTGAACTGGCTTCTTGAGTGTATGCTTCAACCTTTGTATAAAGTTGTATTTGTTGAAAAGCCAATTATTGAGCAGCAAATTACATTTTGCTCTCCAGTGTAAGACCAGGTAGGAGAGAGCTTTTGGTATTATGTTCTATGTGCCTTGTTAGTTCATCAGACTTCATTGTATGAAATCTCGAGAGAAAGAGCAGGGCAAGAATGATTGTATCTGGGGTACTGCACCATAGCTTTCTTCAAATAACTCATCACACATTCTAAGCAAAAAAAATTACGAAGATTGTTTATAAAAGGAGCTTCACGTAATCAACAAGAACCGTTAACTGATCTTAAAAATAGCTTATCTGCAACTTACATAGTAAACAACACGCTCCAATTTTTGTATGTCATTTTCTTGTTCACAAGGCAGCAACACAATTACACAAAGCAACGACATCTATGATACATGAAATACAACAGCTCAGGATTATCTATCTCACCAATCCGCAGACAAAAATGATGATACACCTAAACGAGGAAAAGAATATGTAGGGACTAACAATTCAATGAAAACCCAGCACTACCCGCCCATGAGAATGATCAAAACTCCGAAAGGGTAAAATCCGTCTACCGGCTTGCGGCTCAATGTACAGTACACCTCTATCGAAAACCCCATCTGCTCTGTATCATGATGTGACGAATAGAATAGACCATGCGCCTGCAACCTCCAATATCTAAATCTGATTTTCTTAAGACCCTTCCATGGAAGAATTACAACGTGGCTCGAGCCTTAAAACTTTTCACGAGGATAAGTATCTCCGTTGAACTCTGATTGGTGACCGGCCGGCTATGTACATATCACTGGAAATCCGACATGTTAGCATGAGCCTGCAAGTATATAGCAAGACAATTGCACTATAATTTAAGTCCAAGCAACAGAACCTCGATCATTGGCTACTTGAGGACGTCCTCTGGTTGGTGTCGGTGGTCTGTTGGCATTTAGCTCCTATCCCAAAAATTGCGAGCAAGATCAAACACACATCAAAGAGAGAAAAATGGGTCCAAAGAGATCTGGTAATAACAAACCTGCATCCAAGTATCTTCTATATGCCGCTCAGGTGAAGTTTCAGGAGAGGAAATTGCCGGCGGCAGCGGGTGAATAAGTTTTGGAACCACAACAAGATCTCTACCCAATACCAAGATAGCACCAGCATTATTAGCAGTACCTGTAGAAAGGATGATGAGAAAAGAACAAAAAGAATTTGCATAAAGATAAAAGACTATCCAAGAAATAGAAAACCTCTATACATCCAAAATTTGCGACATCTTACCACAATAATTAGTGGCTGAGAAAAGCGTAATTAAATGTCCCTGAGCAAATCGTTCAAATCCATCCATCACACATTCATGCGCTCGGACAATCAATTGAAGATCATTATTGTTGCAGAATTCCATCACACGATCGGGCTGCATGTATGCAAGTGTTTATATTAGTTAAACGAGAAATGCTAGGGAAACTATAACCAGCCAAACACCTTGGAGACCAGGATAGCTAAGAGATATCTAATATTACTGAAGTACTAAAACTCCAGTCCCAAACCTTTAAGTCGTAACAGCCCAACTGGTGAATCAAATAAGTGCCTTCAAGGAATCGTCAGTTCAACATATTAAAAGAAAAAAAGCTTTCACATAGCAAGGTCCAGGTTACAAAGATGGAACAGCTGCAATTGCACAAAACGAACTCAAGAAAATGACAGCCCATAGAATGTGAAAGTGAAAAGCAGGGCGGATGAAGCAATCTGGACTTTTTTGTTTGAAACATCATCTCTTTCGATACTGGGCCCTTATAAACAACTCCAGTTAACAGATAAGAATATGCAGCTTCCCAAAATAACAGCCAATAGGTTGAGCTAGCATGCATAGTGATCGGACGTTGCATTTGCAGAGAAAATATCTCAAAATTGATATGAAGTATAAATTACTCACCCCAAAAGTGACCAACCCAGGCCCTCTTGCATTTGGTCTTAATCCTTCAACACTATCATTTTCTGTAGGGTCAGACCTACAAGCACGTGCCAGTGTGAGAAAATATGAGGATGTTAAAGTCAATGAAGGAAGCATAGGAGAAGACGGAGACTAACCACAACAAATCCATAAGAACAATTGAGCCAGCATCCATAGTAATAGGGCGTTGGATATTTTCTATTTGTTCAACATGATTAATTGACCTTCCAATACCACCATGCATACAGATAATCTTTTTCTCGATTAATGCTGCCAGAGGAAGCCAGTTGAACAACCTATTAAATCGATGCCATGCCCAAATTCCATCTCGCTCACCCTGTTGCATAAATAGACATCAGTGTCTAGCTTGAAAAGCAAGTACAAACGCCAGTAAATCATAACATACCATGCGTTCAATGCACTCAATTCGAAAGCCGAAAAGCGCATTAATATCAGCAGCTTCATGGTTCCCACGAATTAGATGTACATTGAGGGGATACTCAACCTAAAGCATCAATTTATATCATCAAAATCACAGGGTAACTAAGAAAGTGAAAGCAAAGCAAACATCAAAATATAAGAGGTGCCTTTAAAGCAAGAAGAAGTGTTAGAAACAAGAAGTACCTTTAAAGCGAGAAGAAGGGTCATTGTTTCCAAACTGTGCTGGCCCCTATCAACATAATCTCCTAAGAAGAGATAGTCAATATACCTGATGGTCACTTAGCGACATTAGTATCAAGACTAAACGAACAAATATCAACTCCACAAACCAGATCAATCCAAAAATGGTGCAAGTCTGCAGAAGTCAGAATTACAGGAGACACAGCAAAGAGACCAACAAAATATTGCGACACATTTTCTCTGTACTCCTTCAAGGAGTTAGTTTGGTTCTTGTTTTGGTAATAATTACTAACAAGCTCTCACAAGGGCTTAATTTAGAGAATGAAAAGGGAAAACATCCCTTCCATTTCCATAATAGTGTTGCCCCACAAAATCAAAAACAAGTATTCTGATAGCCCTACTGAGACACCTGACAGTTACAGCAACAACCTAATTTGTGATGCCCACAATTCCAATCAAAATATCCATTTCAATACAAAAATGAGGATTAAGAAATAATACTGCAATCCAGGGAACTAAAGACTGTCAAAAGGACACCTAGAACTGAAAATAAACAAACAGAAGCAAGATTGAGCCAAGGCACTTACGATATATCCCCAGCGGTCGATGGGGAACCATACTCATCGAAAAGACGCATAAGATCCCCAAATTGCCCATGCAAGTCACCAAATATCTTAATAGGAGCCTTAAGCTGTATAACACTAGGTTCACTCGCAAATATCCTTTCAGCACTGTCACAAAGATCAGCTATCTCATTGCAGTCCAAGAAAAACTGTCGTCGAACAGGCGGCTTCCAGCCACGAGGCTTCAGAAGATGGGTAATCACCTGAGATAGTAAGGAAAAATAAATAATATAACTAACATATTGCAGTTATTTGTCTTTACACGATATAACAGCTAAAGTTATAAAATTGCTCACAGTTACATTTTTTGCAGAGTGGGGAAGTCTTTGCTCGGGTGGTTCAGAATAGTTAGGAGCATGATTGAATTAAGACAGACAGTCCAGCTCTCATCACATCCCCCCTCCTTTTCTCTCCCCCCTCCCCCTACCTCTAGCTCACCCTAGTACAAGGCCACAACATATAGACAAGGAAATATAACTATTAGTCTCTCTCTTTCTTCCCTCCAAAGTACTGTTACACATTTTTACTCCCCAGTTCTTTATTGAACTTCTTAGAGACCTATAGTTCTATAGCTGAAACCAAATTCCCTAGTGAAGCAAAAAAAAAAAAACAATTTGCTGCTTGTAAACTTCCCCATTGGATTTTTCTTGCTTCCTCACTTCATGATTCAACCAATCTTGAATTGGTCCAGTGCCCTGCCCTACTTTCGGTCATTCCAATCAAGGTGGTTTCAACATATTTAAAAAGCACTCTTGAAGAAACTCTTGCCAAAAGCAAGAGAGGGAGAGATAGTTAGGACATATAACCTAGAACGGCACATGGAAACAGTCAACAAAACACCTATCTTCCTCGTGTGATAGAGCTATGCCAGGAGCAGAAACAACCAAATCGGCCATTTTACTGTCTAGCTGCTACTCAATGGCCCTTCAAACGGATATGCCCAAAAACAGAGACGAGCCAAATATATTGGATTTAATTAATTCAGCTACTTATTTAGCAAAACTTATGCACTGTTTCCACCATAGGATTTTGAAGTTTCAGTGCAAGCAGTTTACCCTTTTTACTTTCATGAATACCACATCAGCTAAAAATTGGTAGCCACATTGTGGCACGTAATCAGGTAATTCGTCTAGAGTCAAATCATTGTAATACCTTTTTAGGAACACTGTTGATGGACATTTGACGATCCAATAGTTTCCTTGCTGCTGTTGCATTTTCTGGGGTTCCATAACTAACTCGCCTGCCTTCATTTTCAAACTGATCAATCGAAAGCTGCCGCACCATGCCACCTAGAGCACCACCAGTCTCTGCAGCTATAACCACCTTCAATGCATTAAGGCACATCATCAGTCAACTTATGAACAAACTAAGACCAACACATAGCATTAAGGATCTGAACACTGACAGCACGGTGATGCAGCCGAACTCCAGCTGGGGCAGAATTATTTGATAAGGCAGAGTCAGGCTTGATCAGAGTAGACGCCTGTTTTCCACTTGGCGTTGCCTCCGCTCCACGGTCTCTATCTGGAAGTTCAACTTCTCCATTCCCTTGTTGACGAGCTTTTGCAGCTGCTAGTGTAGCAGTAATAGCCTCAGCTTCTGCAGCAGAAGCCTCCACTAAATATTCAACACCTTTGATGAGTCTCCTGCAAACGAAACGAACCACAAGATATATCCTTAAAAACTAATCATGCATTAACAAAACAGAGACAGCAGATGCTGTTGTTCCTATGCAACTGCAAACTCACCGAGGTCCTTGAAACGTCGCATTTTCAGAGCTTATATCGGAATACATATCACCATTTACAGGGGGTGCGACAGGAGTTCCCAGTACAACTGAGCCATCATTA